GATGCAAATGTCGATGACGATGAAGACGAGGAAAGGGGAAGGATCGGAGGATGAGAAGAAGAGTAGTATGGGAGGAGGATGAGAGGATGAGAGGATGATGACGACGAGTGGACGCGAGTAACGCGACTATTGACTTGGCCATATCTGATTCGCCGTGTCATCGAGAATCAAGCTGCGTTCTTCTCGTCGTGCCGCTCGTTAAAGAACTCCCATCAAAGAAGGTTGCTGCTGCTGCTGCCGTTGCTGTTGCTGCTGCTGCTGCCGTTGCTGTTGCTGCTGCTGCTGCTGTTGCTGCTACTCCCAATGATTTTCTTTACTTCTCTATCTTTCTCTCTCTCTCTCTCTCTCTCTCTCTCTCTCTCTCTCTCTTCACTTCTCATCCCGAGTATCCTCCTCTTTTCTTCGCCTGCAATTAACACCTCGAGTTAGTTATTATTTCCTCAAGCGAATCGTCGGTATTCTATTATCGTATCGATACTATCGATCGTTTCTTCCTCTTCTCTCTCTTTCTTTCTCTCGTTCTCTTTCTGTCTCTCTCTCTTTCTTTCTCTCGTTCTCTTTCTGTCTCTCTCTCTCTCTCTCTCTCTTTCTCGATTGATGGCCTAATAAACACTCCAGTTAAGGGTTTACGAAGGGACTTTTTCGCTTTACTTTACGAGTGAGAGTTCTTTTCAGATTGTTGTACCTTTATCATCGAAACATCGTAGAACAATTATATTATTTATTACACGTCGATAAATACTTGTTACGATATATATATGTATATTTAAGTATTATATACGAATGTAGAATCTTTTGCACGAATAAAATATGTAATAAAAGAAAAAAATAAATAAATAAATAGAATAGAAAAAAGTTTCGATAGAGAAATTATTATCTCGAGGGAAAAAGAAAAGCGGAATAAAAGATTCATGCTTTTTTTTCTTTTCTTTTCTTTTCTTTTTTTTTTTTTTTTTTTTTTTTGATTAAACAATCCCGTCAATATTTTTTTTTTCTTTTTTTTTTTTTTTCTTTTTCTTGCGAAATACTTTCGGATAAATTTCTATCGATCCTGAATCGACAACGCGCACCACCTGCACGCGTCGAAATTCGTGCCGACAAAAAAGAATCGAACAAATACTTATACCTCCTCCGCATGAAGAGAAACGAGATCGGTGCCCTGACGCAACCCCCATTGCCATGGCAGTCCCGAAGGAAATTGACTCGCAGGAAAAAAGAGAAAAGAAAGAAAGGAAAAAAAAAAAGAACGAAGCGTTTCGACGAGAGATACGCGCTCTTTGTCCGTTTACGGACACACTCGTTAAAAACGATTTCTCCAAAATCGATAAAACGGATGTGTATACTCGATATATCGATCGTGGTTCGACTTTATCGATCGTACTCTACGCGACGGAATGCAGAACGGACTACATTTAATGCCACCTAAATCCGAATCGAATTCGGATATAGAAAAATAGTGAACTGATTTTTTTTCTTTCGAAATATTTCAAATACTGATATTTCTTTCTAGCAATCGATTTGAACATTATTATATGTCGAACTTTTTTTTCCCTTTTTTTACTTTCTAATTTAGATTATTCATCTATCCATCTATTAACGAACAATTAAATATTTCTCCTTAATAAAGATTCTTAATTGTTATTTAAAAAAAAGAAAAAAAAAATTACATTTAATTCAACAATAATAACAAGCCAATTCGAACATTTCCTTTCTCAAACAAATTCCTATGATCAAACGTAAGGAAGCATTTTGTCATCGGTTTTAAATCACAATGAATATATAAATAATAATAAATTTGAAAAATTTTTGTGTAATTAATAACAACAAATGATCGTCCTATATTCCTGTAAAATAACATATACGTATAATTACTCACAATTCACATTTTAGATTCAAAACATTGTGAAAGGAAATTCGATCTGTGAGATTTTTTTCATAGCCATTGTACGTACACAGTTACATATCTCGTGGAAAAAAAAGAAAAAGAAAAAGAAAAAAAAAAGAAAAAAAAAAAAAAGAAAAAAAAAGAAAATCTCCATAGGAGTTATCTGACACTCGAAACTCGAAAAGCATTCGTTTGTACGTTGTCGTACGTATCATTAGAAAATAGAAAGCGCAAGGCACGTGACTCGGTCTGATTAAAATGTTAATCAGCGGTTCGTTCTTTTCTCTTTTTTTTTTTTTTCTTCCTTTTTTTTCCCCCCGATTCTCTTCGATCCCCGTCCCCCTCCAACTCGTCCTGTTCCAATACCCTTTCAATAACTCGGTTCAGAGTTTCGTCGATGAATAAAAGCCGCCCTCGTAGGTACTCGTGCGGCCATACGCGCGTCTCCGGTTACCTCTGTGGATTAATTATGGGGTAGATCAAAAGAGCATACGACCACAAAGCGGAGTAATGCAACGGGTGGTACATTTTCGAAAAAGCAAGACTCACTTATGTTTAGACAGCGTACGAATTATGAAGGAGAACATATAAACGTGCTACGAGATATCCTTTTCC